CAGCCCAAAGGCTCTTGTCTGGTAAACAGCCAGTGTTTGGGGCTTCTTATCTCCCCTCTGTTTTTCTCTCAATATGCTCACAGGGCCTGTTTTTCAAATCTTGTTCCCCGGGTCTCCAGGGAAGGAGGGGAGGGAGGCTTAGCTCAGTCTTTGTGATAGAGCTAAGAGCGAGAGAGCAGAGTCAGAGAAGGAGTGAAACCATTCATGTCAGGACTACAAAAAGAAGGGAGCCACACAGCCCATCTAGCTGTTTGTGGATCTATAGCAGAGTATCATCCTCAACAACAAGGAGCTCTACGCCGAGGGTGGCGGGAGTGGGGAACAAGCTGTGCGCCCACCTCGTTGAAGCCGATGTTCTCCTCTCCTTCTTATGATCTTACACAGCACTTCTCCACAACTCCCTTTCGTCCCATAAGATGACGGCATCAGCCACATGGTTTAGGCATTTTCTAGAGGCAGATGTTTTTCTTAAAAGTCTAGCTGCCACGTTATAGAGGAGCACTCGAATGTCTTCTCATCCGTGTTTTCTAAACACGTCACCCGCTACAAGGTCACAGGGGAACTGGAGCCTATCCCAGCAAGCCGTGGGGACACGTGTATCTCGGGACAAGACACCAGTGCATCTCGGGGCAGCTCTACGCCAAGGGTGGTGGGAGTGTGGAACTGCGCCACAACGCTGCCCCCCCTTAAGCGTCATTACACGCATCCCAGCTATTTCAGTGGTATTTTGTCATTTTTGGGATATTTATGTGACGTTGGACACTGCCGAGTGACCCCGGGTAATAATGAACTATGCAAAGCACAATTGAGGCATGCCTCCCCCCGCCAGGGCTGGGCTCACAGCTGCCCGGATATCTGAGAACCCCCTTGGCCGAGGTCGGCCCTGTGCTGACGTCACGCAGCCCTAGATCCGCCGGGGGTGGCGAGGTGTTAATGACAGCTGTCATTCAACTACCGAGAGTCGGCGCGTGGAACCTCGCGGGAGTGTATGTGTGTGGTGGGGGGGAGCGTCCGTGACGTCAGCACGCACGCTTCCTGTTTGTTTCTCTGTGAGTTACTGCAAACAGATGAGAATCCGCCCGGCACTTATTTTC